AATCATATTAATTTTCTGTGCGGAACAATCGAAACGTCCAGCCGTATTTAACATTTTCCAAATTTTCTCGTTTAGTATCAGAATATTCACGAGCAAACATAAACATGTAGGTTTTCCCGTTCTTGCACTTTTAAAATTATAATGATCACACAATTTTTAGACAGGGCAATGGAGATTCCCGCTGTTGGAGCTAAACGCCTCATTCGAGGACAGAGGTCCTTGCAGATGGGACGAGAATACAGCTGAAATGCGGCAGAACAGTCCGGATTAGAGTACCAATACAGGGTGATCCAAGGTTAAACGGCCAAGACTGCAGAAGCCGAAACCTCTTCAAACCCGTTTTTAATTTATGATTCCGCCTTACCTCTCTTTTATTGTTCCTTAATTCTTTGATAAGCGTGTAAGTAATCCTTACTTTAGCTGTAATTCGTATCTTGTGTGTATTTATTTTGGTATTTTCTTTCTCTAATAGTGTTTGTGAGCATTTACATAATTTACATAAATATTATAAAAAAATGTAATGACCCGATTTCCATCTCCCAAATTCAATAAAACCCGAATTAATGCATAGGAAGGAACCAAGCCCAGATTAGACAGAAATATTAGGCAATAAACAATATTGTTTTGATATTTATACAAACATTGGGCCAATATTGGTTAATTATTGAGCAAATATTAAAAGTGTACACCATATTTCCTTTTGGCATAAATACTGTGCCAATACTTTCAAATACTGTGCCAATACTGTAAAAATATTTTTATAATATTTTGGGTGAACATATTATTTTTAAAAATACTAAATAAAGATTCTTTAAATATTGTTTTAAAAAATAATTTTGATTAAAATTTTATCAAAATATTGTCAGTATTGTGTAAATATTGCGACAATACTGACAATATTTGCCCATTATTGTAAAAATGTTGTGTCTTATCTGGGAGTGGATGGTAGTTACATCTTAGGTTCCAAACCGGTGAAATCGTTTAGAAAAGAACCGCTTGCATAGTGATGCGTAAGGAGTTCTTCCGCGCAAATAACGAGTAGGGCTCAGTAGGGAGCAGACATCCTGTTTGCCAAAAAACTTGATACTCCTTAAACTCGGTTCAAATCATACCCAATGTGTTTTTCTTCAGCACGAGCACCGATTTAATGGACTCTTTGATCCCTGTCAACAACGATTTGCACGAAGTGTCGCGCTGATGATTCACCTGATGCGTGTGATCTCTCAAGAAAAAATTGAAATGAAAGTGATAAATTTTCTAGACTGCAAAAACAGCAGAAAACACCTTTAAAAGTTCCAATATCCGTGGGCTTCAACCTTTACCTCACCTTTCGCATTTTGCGGAGGTTATATTAATCAGCTTTAGATTTTTTCTCGGAAATAAGAAAGGTCTCAAACTTTTCGTGCGTCAATAATAATCCATGGTGCAATTTTTTGAGTGTAATTACGTCTATGATAAACTTTTCTCACTTTGCCCGACGTTCAAACAGCATTTGCAGGCGAGCAGCCTACCCCTTTCATTACATTTTAAGCCTTCTCGTGAAACTGTGAAATCTTCCTGTCAAAAAGCAAGTAAGTTTGTTTGAAATTTTTCCAATTGATTCCACTTAGTAGATGAAGAGTGAAATTTGAGGTACCTTGAGCATTATTAGGCACTGCCACAGATTGTGCGGGGCGTTCCTCATTTTAAAAGAACCTTTAAAAGTATCCTTGGGTAAAGTATTGGCTGTTTGAAAAAATTTGACAAATCGAAAATTTAAAAGAAAAAGCTCGTAACAAAACGATTTAAATGTTCGAGTTAGAAAACCTTATTATTCTTTTTTTAAACATGTCACCCTGCGATTATTCATGTTTTTTACTCAAAAAAATTTCCCGTAAATGTTCTTTGCAGTTTTGGTGTTTTGTAGTGCATATTCCGTGGTTTATTTTATGCTTGGCATCAATGTGGGTGGTTTTCAGAATTTAACAAAATTTTGATATCAGTTTTTCTTCCATGACTTTTTTAAACGTAATTTCCCACAAGTTATACCTAGAACAAAAAGGGGTTCCTAACTCGCATATTTTAACATTGTTTTACGATTTTTAAGGTTCAAATTTAACATTCGAAAATTCTTCCTAAATTTTAGGCTCCTATGTATAATAAGAATTAATATTCTCAAACCACTTTTTCCTTGAATTTAAAAAGAAAAAAAATGCACTAGTTCAGCAATACCCCATGGCGTATTTTTTTTTTCAATATTATTCAGGGGGTCAAGGTAATTAATCGATTTAACCCATGAATTTTCGACATCGACTGTGTAGCCGAATTTTTCCAGTTTGCTGCAATGTGTAAGCTGAGTTATTTTGTTCATATTCGAGAGACGGATGATGGGGGAGGGGTGGGTGATGAATAAGAGGATGATTTTTTATCGATTTTTCAAGATTTCGAATAATTTTTTATTTAGACCATCTATCGTCCTCGAGAGTTAAATACTCGTAAAATCTAAATTGCGATTTATTTGATTTCAGGGGATTTTATCTAGTCAAGTTTGAGATAGTAAACGAATCGAATCGGGAGGGAATGGTCTCTTACTTGATTGCGATGATGACCATATCCTGGTGCCTCTATTCTGGATTGGACGCGATGCAGCGGCAGCCGTCATCGGAAATTGAAAATCGAGAACTTTACATTGAAATACCTTCGCCAAACTTCCAGCGGCCAACCATGTACACCTGTCAAACTTCCAGACGGCAGGTAAGTTGTTGGATGACGAAAGTCAAAAAAGTCTTCCTGAATCGGGTAATGGGGTTGGGGCCATCAAGCAAAGTGCGAATTTACATTACGATATGTGTTTTCTTATTCAATTAAAATTGCACTTTAAACACGGCGAGTTTGTCAACAAATTACTGGACACGTCTCTCAACAGCCACCATGAAGGTGAGTTGTAAGGATCAAGGCTAGAGACCGAATACACACAAGTAGTGTAGTGCGATGTCAACAATGACGATGCCAACAATGACGATGCCAAAAAACGGTGAAATATTTTGCGAATCAACTTCAGAAACTTTAACATCCTCATGAGGATCAGATTCAGATTACGTAATGTTACGCCGGAATTACGGGAATAAGTATCTGAGGTACGACATTATGAATGATACGTGCCGATAGGATTACAACGTCGTCGTTGTGATCGCCGCAGTCTTTCAATCATGGCTCATGGAACGATAAAAAATTGTGTGTTCTCCGAATAGGTAACTATTCGCACTTCTCGGTTTGTTTGTTGCCTATGCAACTGAATTGAAGGCGCACCTCATGTGGGTGGTATCCATCAGTAGGTTCACGCATGTGGACGGTGTAAGTCGGCAATCACATAACTCGGTTTGCGACGTCGCAGACTACCTGTCATACTTTATTTTTTAGACGGAAAACTACTCACCGACAATTCTTTAAAACTGTCGTGATTTTTCTTCTCTCTGCTAAGAGAAAATTCTGCAAAAACTTCAAGGAATGATGTCAATTTGTTCTCCTTTAGAAAAATAACATGGAGGCGGAGATTTTCAGACACCGCAAACGAAACATGTGATTGCGGACTTACGCCGTCGATATGTTCTCTTCGTTTACAAGTTTATGGAGCAAGGTTAATTTGTATTTTTGTATAAAATAGACGTTTTCAACTTTTGTCAGGAAAATCCTGAAGAGTGTCAATTTGTCAATATGTCGTCTCTCTCGCGAAAAAATGTAACTCTTATTTCAATGCCACCGAAATTACCATCGTAAATTGAGCATTAATCAGAAAAATCTCGGGCATTTCTAAGCAAAAATTTCCCTGCACGTTAGTGTTGAAAACAATCTAGTTGGGCACCTTTTCGAAATGAGCCCTTCAATTTGACTGAGTTCTTCAATTAGAAACTACAATTTGTCTGTCATTTTAGAAACAACGTATGTTCCATCAAAGTATTCCAATACCTATGCAGATATGTATTTTTCAGTATGCGCCAGAAATTGTAGTTCCTCATTGCAAAATGTAGTCCGATTTGCCTCGGGACTTACCTTTAAATACTCTTTCTCATGTC